GCTGTTGATGACGTCAGCTACGCGGTTTCGTCGAGCGCGGTTTAGTCGAACACGGTTTTGTGGTGGAACCCAAAGAATGATACAACTTGTTTAAAGTTAGCTTTACAAAAGGGGAGTTAAAGTGGGGGATGATGCTAAAGTCTGTTAGTTTATTTTAGAATATGGTTGTTAATGTTTATACCCTATATTTGCTCTGGGAGGTTGGTGGGGAGGTTGGTGGGGGAGTTGGGTTCGGGGGGAGGTATATATTTGTAAAACTTTTTTAAAAACTTTTAAGAAAAAAAAAGAAAAAGCACATCCCATAGTGAACAGTGAGTTCTTTTAACGCCGGCTTGCAAAGGTCATAAAATTGATCATGTGATGGTCCGTTTTACCACTGTCATGACTTACCGTAATATTTGCAAGCTGCATTCCGGCTGTAAGTTGAGAACTACTTGCAATGTTTTATAATTAGTTTTCAAGCAAACGATGGATGCTAATGGATTCTCACCTTTGCGATACCAGCGGTCACAAGGCTACACGCAAGACAGATTAATTTAAATAAGGAATATGTAAAAACGGTTGGTCTGTTTTTCCTCTGAAACGCATCAGCGTTACTATATCAAGAATGACCCAGTGGCTTTTTCCAAGATATAATCTTCCAGATTGGAAATGGCTGGCAGAATGTTCAGTTCTGTATATCCTTCGTTCAAATTGTTTATTTATTTATTGTTGAATCTGTTTGCCAACTATCTCGCTAATATATGTGGGTATATGCATAATTTTGTATTTATTTATTTATTTATGGCGTATTTGTGTAGTGTATATTGGAGGCGGGTGACCGTTTGAGAGATCTAGGGAACAAAATTTCATTTTAACGATTAGTGTACATTCAAAGTGACAATGAAGTTACTCTAAATCTACGTCTAATGAGGCTTCTTTGGGCAGCTGGTTAGCAGAACCATTTGTCAAATTGTAAATTAGGTAGGTAATTTAAAAATCTCATTTTGAAAGGTTGACAAAGCAGCAGGTACGAACAAGTCATTTCCAATTTGCCTAAGCCTTGAAATGAATTTAAATTCAATATTTTCTGTATTACATAGCACGACAAGCTTTATTGGACCATATTCTCTGTAGGGTTGAAAAGCTTCAGTGTTTATTCGATTTCTAACATTTTTAACGTTAGAAATCACTGACCTTGATGCAGATTATTTTGAATTAAGTTGATTTCAAGCCATGGTTTCCTAAAATTGTCATTAGAAACTCACCAAAGTTGATGTAAGCGTAGTTTGTAAATGAGCATTGCTATTTATTAAATAGCACTGCAATTAAATAGTAAGTGCAAGTTAGCGTGAATTAAGCTCCCTCTTTCTCTCTCCAAAAAGGACATAGTTTAGTTAATGTTCTTGCCACATTGTCAATCTTTATGGCAGAAACCATTTGGGCCAAGTTCTGGGATAAAATCAGAAACCATTACTATTTTTACAGCTCTACAAATTATTCTAAAGTTTATTATTTTATTATAAGTCGCTTTTTTCCCATGCTGTTGAACTATTGTAAGTCAAAGACTATCTGCATTTAGTACTCTAGCCAGTTTTGGTGTAATACAATGGTGGGATTCAAATAATTTAACAACCGGTTCTCTGCCCTAATGACCAGCTGGGTAGGTGTGGCTTGATGACCATGTGACCAAGTGGGTGTGGCCAACTCAACATCACTCAGGTTGATGGGCGCTTCGCCTTAGCTGTTACAATGTAATGAGGGTTAACCGGAGAGCAGTTTCTGTAAGCAGGGCAATAAAGATTAGGCTAGCAACAACACCAGAATGTTTCCTTCCCGCCTTCCTTACAGGATTAGCCCTGTAAAGTGGAAAAAAGCAAAAGGAGATTTCTTCCAACAACCGGTTCTCTGAACTGCTTGGAAAGTTAACATCCGGTTCTCCCGAATAGGTGCGAACCGGCTGAATCCCACCACTGGTGTAATAGTAGCCCTGTCTCCAATACACCATGATTTTAAGCCTGGAAGATATTTATTATTTCTGTCTGTCTGCTGTGCTTAACAGTGTTTGTTGTAGGAGAGGGACTTTCTCCCAGAGTCAAACTAGAATCTCACTGCCGTTCCCGTGTCTTTGTTCCTATTTTGTTAGCCATTGGTCCCACATCCCTTGCTGCCACTTACTCCCCAACTTCATGACAAGAGACAGAAGAGATACAAGGCGGATGTATGTAACTTCTAAATTATGTGCAACAGTTTAACTTCATGTGTCTTTCTCATCTTTTTTAAAAAATAAGCTTCTTAGTTTTAATTTATTTCATTTTTTTAAAAGTTTTTTATTTTTCCCTTTCAAATTCATTCATCGATATACATTCTTATAATTGCTATTTAACATTTGTCTACTCACCGTAGCCTATATATATTCGTTTTTTTCGGAGTATAAGATGCACCTTTTTTCCTCAAAAAAGAGGCTGTAAAATCTGGGTGCGTCTTTTAAATACACTGAATACAGCATTTTTTTTTTGCCTCCTGAAACTGCACTCCCTTCACCAAAATGGCCGTGCATAGCCTTTAGGAGGCTTTCAGAGAGCTCCTGGGGGCTGGGGAGGGCAGAAATAAGCAAAAAATGGACTGTTTTTTGCTCACTATAAGCTTCCTAATGCCCCCCTTTTTTTTGACAAAAAACGGACCCGTTTTTGAGGAAAATGGGATGTTTTTTGCTTGTTTTTGCGCCCTCCCCTCGGAACACTCGACAAGCATCCTAAAGGCTATTCATGCCCTTTTTCTGAAAAAAAAATGGCCCCGTTTTCGCGAAAAACATTCCATTTTTGGGAGGTTTGCAGAGTGCAAAACCTTTTTTTTAAATTTTCCTCTTCAAAACCTTGGTGCATCTTATACTCCGAAAAATATGGGTAATACAGTTTGGGTCACTTTCTTGCCATTCCGTGCCTCCATCTCTCTTTCCCCTCTCCTCTTCCCTTCAGTTTTAATTTATTTCTTTTGGGCTGTATCATACACTAGTCCTTGACTTACAACAGTTTAGAGTTCAAAGTTGCAATGGCACTGAAAAATGTGACTCCTGGGAGGGGAGGGGCAGGATGGGCAGGGCCAGCCAGGAGTGGGATTTGGGGGTTCTCTGAACTGCACAGAATCTTAGCTAGAGGTTCTCCCGAACCCCTGGAAACCCCAAGCAGCCCACCCCTGATTATACCCGAAAGTCCTCGTGTAAACATTTTACCACAAAGAAAATGAAAGAAATATCAGTGAAATCGGACTTACACTGCTCTTAATAATTAAGGACTTTTAAGCAAAACATTCTGATGAAGCTGTTATCATCACCTCACAAAATATTGGTGTAAATGTTTCCCATTTATGGCAGGCAGGCGTATCCCCTTATTAAGCTCCATTTTGAGATGGCTTGTAGGAGCAAAAAGGCCTTGCGATGTGCAAAAGGACGAAAATAATCTTCGTCACTTTGGTTTTGAGGAATGTTGAAATCTGTTCTCTTTTTAGGAAGAACTTCGAATACCTGGAGGAGTTCAAAGCAGAGGATACTTTATGTTCCGAGTAAGTCAATTTCTGTTTGTTTCTGGCCCAAGGCTACATTACAAGACAATAAGCAGAACTTATGCTGAGAAGAATTGATCTTATTCTTTGGGGAGATAGTCTTTTGGCTGGCCAATAAATTAGAACTACCAATAGATGATGCAGCCGATTTTATCATCTTCATGACTCTTCTTTAAATACTGTATTTTTCGCACTATAAGATGCATCGGGCCACAAGACACACATTAGATTTAGAGGAGGAAAACAAGGAGAGAAAAGTCTGCCTCTGCCTCCCAGCATCCATCCGGTATTCATCCGGCTAGCATCCTTGCAGCAAACAGTAAACAGCCTGGTCAGCTTCATCACATTATCACAGCCTCAACACATGGCTCACCAGTGCTCTCCTCCGTTACGCCCACCACTGGTCAACTAACTGAGCTGCTACCGCTGCCGGGGAACACCGGAGCCTTCACTGCCGAGCAGCTGATCGCTGGTTGGATCAGCCTCCTGGAATACCACTGATCAGCTGTTCTAGGCATCGAGGAATTCCTGCTGCCACCTATCACCACTGCCGCCATTTGCCGCCTATCGCCACCGCCTATTGCCACCACAGTCATTCAGCTGATCGGCGGTATTCCAGGAAGCCAATCCAACTGCCGATCAGCTGCTTGGCAGCAAAGGCTCCAGCATTCCCCAGCAGCAGTGAATGGCGGCAGCGGAGAGAGGTGGCGGCGATAACAGGCGGCAGCAGTGGCCCCCCCTCCCACCCGCTGCAGTCTTCGCTCTATAAGATGCACAGATATTTCCACCCACTTTTGGGGCAGGGGAAGTGCGTCTTATAGTGCAAAAAATACCGCACACAATACAACCAATTTAAGAGGTATACAGTACATAGGACACTTAAATGTTTTGAACTGAACCGTAACTAATTTAGAGAACAAAGCTTTCTTATTTCTTATTTGTTCTCCTTCAACTGTGTTATTTCTTTTGCCTTCATTAATTTCTCGGTTGGACAGATTCCAGTTCTGTACGTGTGCATGTACACAAAAAATGCACACAGCAGGATAGGACAGGATGACTTAAATAAATAAATATTCCCTAAATATCCCAAAGGGGAGAGAGTAAGATCGGTCTCAATGTAGCAGAGCACTGAAAGGTGGTACTTCCAGCATTTTCTGAAGAGACCAGCGAAAAGTCCTGAGAACGAAGAGGGACAGATGGACTTGATATATGCCATTTGCTCATTTTCTCGTTTTCTACCAGAGAATAATCCTGCAGTCCTCAGCTATAATCACTGCTGCTCTCCAGCACTACGTATATTCTGTTGAATATGTCAGTATAAATGCTCGCGAGTTAAATCAATGAGCCAGGCAGACTTCATGGTTTATATACCTCTCTAAAGCAACTTGCAGTCAAAAGTCTTAGTTTAAGATAAACAGAGACCAAGATTTTTTGCTCGCTTTTTTCTACTTTTCCTTTATTAATGAAACACTTCAAATCTCTTCTCTAATATTCATCTGTAATTAAAACGTAAGAGCGGTGTGGAAAAAAAATCATGAACATGTTAGAACTTTGTTTCAAATCGCAAGAAGGGAGTTCATAATTCTCACAGAGGCATTCCCAAAGGTATTACTTATCTATCCTTTCTTTTCTTTTTTTTTGTAGCCACGTAATGGAAGAAGATCAGCTGCTTTGTATTAAAAAGGTTTTTAATCTTACTTTTGGTTTCAAATAATTGGAATGTCTGGGGAAAAGTATCTTTCACCAAATCTTATAATCTTTGTATTTTTTATAAATACTTCAGGCACTAACATGCATGGATACATGTATTATAAATAAGTGTGTGTGTATATATGTGTGTTTATACATGCATACACTTTCCTAACCATTCTATTGAGGAATTTAAAGGATTACATTTCAGCATTTTAGTTAGTGCATTCTTTCATCTCCCCAGAAAGAAGCCAACAATTACAAAAAAATTCACAGAAATAACTCTAATGCCCAAATTTTTGTTCTCAGAACAAAATCTCACTTTTTCTACCATATCCTTCCCAATGTGTAATGGAAGAATTTACTCCTTCTCCACATTACTGCTTCCATATCTCCTGATTTTGTCTGTTTAGAATTGTCTAACCACCTGATCGGGGGACGCGAGGGCTCAGTGGCTAAAACGCTGAGCTTGTCGATCAGAAAGGTTATCAGTTCGGCGGTTCGAATCCCTCGTGTCGCGTAATGGAGTGAGCTCCCATTACTTGTCCCAGCAGTTCAAAAGCATGTAAAAAATTCAAGTAGAAAAATAGAAACCACCTTTGGTGGGAAGATAACAGCGTTCCGTGCGTCTTCGGTGTTGAGTCATGCTGGCCACATGGCCACGGTGATGTTTTCGGACAGTGCTGGTTCTTTGGCTTTGAAACAGAGATGAGCACCGCCCCCTAGAGTCAGGAACAACTAGCACATATGTGCGAGGGGAACCTTTACCTTTATCTAACCACCTGATTATTCAAAAACTATAAATGTAACCTAAGCGATGAGCAATTTTCTAAATTCCTTTAGAATTTACCAAGCCTTTTACAAAATTGAAGCTGGTATTTTGAATAGTAATAAGAAAAAAAATTACAACTTCAAGTTAATATTTGGTTTTGAAGCCATTTCAAAATTTATCTGCCTGCAGTTAATAAAACTCTATTGCCTGAATATGCAGCTTTAAGTAAAGAGGCTGAGTTCCCCTTTTATTTTGAAGTTT